ACAAGAGACTCCTGCCTTTGAGATTTAGTGACATTTGATTGATTTCTTCTTTATTACAGTTCAAATGTTTCCATCTGAGACCAATTCACCAATGATCTACTGTGTTCACCAGCTAGTCACTAACTTTGTCTGTCGACTGTTTGGTTCTGAGCAGGTCATTCACAGGTGGTTAAGCAGCTCTCTGCTACAGGTGGAAATGAGGTTGTGAACCAGAAAACTGAAACAGTGAGCTGAAAGGGGCTGAGGATATGATGCGATATTTCACCACGGCAACACCCTTCACATTATGTCGTCAACTGAGCAATTGTTAATACAAAAGATACTGATGAGTGGAGCTTTACAAAACCACAAATGAAGCAGCATCTAATGTTGGTTTCATATTGACAGCATTCCCCTTACTGCCTCCAATTTACTGTGCATATGTCAATATACTACTTAAGTAGCTAATAGTGGAGTCTGAGTTGTGCCCCGTGAGATGCTTGATATTTTAACAACCATTTTGATATCAGCCTTCCTAAGAACTCGGCGTGCTGCTCTTCTCGGGGACCACTTCTCATTCAATTAAGTGTCCAGTGTTCAACGATCAACAATTTTTCTGTTGAAATATTTTGTGCAACACAATAACTGTTTTCCCTCTTATTCTGCAAATCAAGTACATGGTAATGAGTAGAACTGGGGATTGATAAAGTCACTATTGTGCTTGTATATCAGTCTGTGATGGTGAGTAGAAAATATTGCAGATGATGACATACACTCATGCAGTTACACATTATGCACATCAATGATAGTGCCACTGTGGCCGTGGGAGATCGAGGGCAGATTCCACAAGTGGCCAGACTCCGGCCTCTGCCTTCCCGGCACGCCATCGTCGGCAATAACAAGTCCAGAGATCTTCAAAGCTGGACGACTGAAAGGAGGAAAACTGGAGGGAATGGTGGAAGCAAAGGGAGAGTCAGAGGAGAAAGAGGAAGCCGTCTGATTCATCTTTAAAGACGCTTCTTATTGCATCTTTAATCATCTTCCTCAATGCGCACGGACGACTCGACAGTTGGCTTCAAGAACGACTGAATTCACACCCTATTGAGTCGAGTCACTCAGGAGGCTCAGACTGGGCTTTCTTCTCTGTGCCCCTTCTCTCTTTTTTTTTTATCTCTTCTGTTTTATCACTCCTCATCTCCATCCCTGCGAGGGTCTCGGAGAGGCAGGCTGCCTAAGAATCGCAGTGTTGTATGGATGCTAACATGGTCAGCTAAATGTTTCAAGAGGCAGGGGACGTGACAGAGCCTTCCCCTTGTACTACAAAGCCATGCTGTAACTTTGTCACCACTTTTTGACTGACAGATTCCCACAGACCCTCTTTTCTCTGAATCAATTAAACTATTTTGTGATCTAGATTTCAGATGAAGGTGTACATCAGTAAAAGTGAGGAGCGCCGTCTGGCAGAGACTGTGTGTTACATAGGACATAATATTACAACTGACACTAGATCATGCATTTTACAGAGGGGGTCTGTTGAAGAGTGTAAATGCTGCTCTGACAGTGTGAAGACAAATGCTTGGGATTCCTGGGGGTTGGGACTTTGATAAGGAATGGTTAGGACTAGTCTGGCTACAAGAAGGAGAACTGTGAGAGTGTCTTTAAATACACACAAACAGCAACTCCGAAGCATGAAATATTGAATTAATTTCTGATTACAGCTTCCCTCAGGATAGTGCTGATTCCACATGCTATCACTTGATTGAACACACTGTTTGTTATGATTTGGCGCTATACAAATAAAATTGAATTGAATTGAAATGACACCGTCTAGTGCGGGTGATCACCGGACAAGATGAGATGATATTAAAGACCCTCTCCAGTCTCCAAAATAAGCAGTCAACACCATGACTTGAAACTGCAGTAAACCAGACAGCCAGGGTTTCATACGTCATATATAACAAAGAACTAAAGCACAACCGCTAACACTGTGTCATCCACTGCTAGTTGCAAACTAACAAACAACATAAACAAATAAAAGATGCTAACTCCGCTAACGGTCCTGATGCGTCTGCCAGTCGCCGATTTTGGTCTCAACAGACCCCTCTGGGTCTGACTGACGCTCAAACATGTGGCTGAGTCTCTGACGGTTCCTCCTCTAACCATCTCGTTACTCTCTGCTCCTTCACCTGTCAGCCTTGCTGAGCAGCGGAGGTGGGAGGGGCACGAGGCCTGATCCAGTGTTTCTCAATGAGGAAGAGTAGATGAGCTTCCAGCTCCAGCTCCAGTTTTCCTTTTTTTTTTTTTTTTTTTTTCACTTGTTATGTATGAAAACAATGTTAAACAAACTATGAATCATAGCGGAGCATTTTACCTATTTTAAAACATGTCTGGAGAGGAACTTTAAAATGCAAAGGTCCAAAATTGCACTTGCTGCTTACTGATTGAAGGTTTACGTATATTTACACTCTGTAAGCAACTGTAATTTCCCAAAGGATGATAGTAAAATATTGGATGAAGTTTCATTAGGTGTTAACTCTAATCTCTCAGGTGGGAGGGTAGATAATACAAAAGCTTTTCTCCTGTTCAATGCGTCTTGTTTTATGTAGCACGCTGTGGCCACAGCTACAGAATATAACATCACATGCATCAACAAGCTGATGTGAGGCTGCTGTTGAGGTTTTCTCAATGATTTTTATATTAAAAATGCTGACTGAAAAGGCTTGCTATTGTCAGCATGGGGAAGTTATTACTGTCACGATGACACCTGAGGACCTCACTGTTTAAATATATTTTGATTACTGATTTTAAAAAGCACCAGACGATGCCACCATGTTTGATCTGTTTCTATCAAAACTTGTCAGAGTGTTTACAGTAGGAAGAATCACGATTAATGCACCATTTCTTCAGGGAGAGATCGTGCTGGTTTTCAGTTGGAGCTTAATGAGTTATTGAGGCTTAATTAATACTCTGCAGCTCTCTACATTAAAGTCTGTGGGAGATTCTGTTAAGATTACAACAATCATATTTACAGTGCGTTTCATCATCATTCCTGAGTTAGCTGGTAATGGGTTCCTCTTGTTTCTGTTTCTCCCGCTGCCTTCACGGCTACAAGCAGAGGAAAACTTACTTTCCTCAAGCTTTGTCAAGTGCAAATAATCATTTATTCTCCAACCCTGAATATTGCGTTGACAACCGAGAAGAGGAAAGAAGTGCAGAGACCGGAGAGCCGAGCTGAGCTTCACGTTCCCTCGGCTCTGTTTCCACAGACAGAGGGTCAAACTCACAAATTTAACATTGGCAAATATTATTTACTGCAACCGCCATTACGGTCCGTCCGAGACCCAGTTCTAATGTCAGAGAATACAAAACTGAACGCTCATGTTCTGAGAAAAACAGAGAAAAATTACGAAGCTGAAATTCAGAGATGGCTGAGTTGTGGAAGGTTGTCAGGAAAACACAGAAGAAGAAGATTCTGACTGTTCGTATGTACAGTATGTACCCAGATAAAGTTCCCTTCTTTTAGTTTAATGGGCTTTTTCCATTCATATGCTAATGAAATGAAGACGTTGAGAATTCACTGGCAATATGAGAACAAATTACATCTATTTGAATTCAATCATACCTTTTATTCCAGCTCTGCGGGAGTCAACTTAATTCAGTAAGTGCTAATTATACGAATTTCATAATTAATAGCTGTTAATTCAAGATGGCATCATATAAATTATTGATATATATATATAAAAAAAAGATTTAATTGATTTCAGTAGCAGGATGCCTGCTGGAAATATCATTAAACATATTTAGTATTTGGTCAAATTATCTGTAAATGTTCATATTTCTTAGATAATGAGCTCCAACTATCATCATTCTGAGGCGGAAACATGTCATATGTTGCTGTAGGCATAACTACATATGCAACTTTGATAATATGCTTTTAAAGATATGTTGAAAATAATCAATGATGATATAGCTGCCCACACTGTGGATTCAGTTTGTTCTCCACTGCAGTTAACGTGCATGAGCATGAAACACAACCATCACCTGTTCAAACACAGGTCACGTGCTTTAAAACACAAACTGCTTTGAGCAGCAGTTCACTGGAAATCATTACCACCCTGTCCTGAGAGAAAGAAAAAAAAAATCGTCGTCATTGTTACGCCACCACTTCAGAAGGTGAGCTGCACAGGACTGCTACCTTTTAACCCCGTCTTCTCCTCTTTATCTTACCTGGCTTTAATTACTGATGGCACATCACTCGACTCAGTGAAGGAGAAATGAATGAGGAGGATGAAATACGTGATTATATGCTCATTTAGCTCTTTAGGCCTAAAATGAACATAAATGGCTTCGCATCTCCTGAAAGCCCAAGACAAAGAATATTGCATGAATCGGGATTACGTAACGTCGGCCACAATTACATGCACACCGTGATCTTTTGCTATCATGAAACGCTACAATTAATTTTGATGTTACGTAAAAACCTTTATTTAATTATGCTGCTTTGAGTGAGGCTGATTATGAGACTGTAATGAAGACACGCAGTGCTGTGATAATTGTTCCAGTAATAGCGGGCTACTTGGACATGTAAATCCTATATTTCTTATCAGAGTGTCCGCTGGGGACTTCACAGGATGCAGCATTAACACCGCCTAGCTTTGTTTACTGCCTTGAGCATAAACCTTGGACAAATTGCAGACGATTATGTGTGAGCATAATTATGAAGAGAGATATAGGACTGTAGTTTATGACAGGAGAGAAATGACTAATGTTGGCTGACGTCTACCAGGAAGCAGGCAAATAATCTATTCATCAATAATTCTTGTGCACATGATTGCATGGAAACAAGTAAGTTCACAGAATGAGCTTTCTGCTGTGCACGGAAAAAGCTTGATCATACTTATTTCCAAAGGGTATATGTGTCAATATAAAGACATTAAATGTGACATACTGGCAGGAAACAGGATGGGTTTGGTAGCAAACCACAGTGTGTGTCTTCAGTGTGCATTTTAAAGGAGACTTACTTGAGGCTGAACTGTTCGACAGTGGAGTTGGGCATCAGGTAGAGGAAGATTTTGAGGGTCTCTCCAGGCTTCAGGGGCTTCTCAGGCAGCCTGAGGAACATGTTCTTGTCTAACTGCTTATCCACCAGCAGCTGCTCCTGACTGGCCTGGTACAGGCTGATGCTCCCGATGCGCAGCAGGGGGTGCTGTGACAGAGGCTCTCCCCTGGAAACACCACCACCCCTGTGACCTGAGCCCTCACTGCACTCCCCTTCCAGATTAGGCTCATGCAGTGTGTAGTAGAGCTCAGCCTGGAGGGTCTCACTGGTCAGCCCATCCAAGAGCCCATCACCGGAGCCTTTCCTCCTGCCCAGTGGGGCCACGTTGGTGTTAAACCAGGACGGAGGCAGCTCCAGCTGGGCCAAGCACTGCGCCAGGTTGCCTTTCATGCGGCAGGAGGTTTTAATTTCACGGACATCCCGGAAGGCATGCAGACGGACGCAAGGCAGCTTGTCCTGAGCCTTGAAGTCATCCCAGTCGCGGCCAGCAATGTAGAAAAACACCTGGACAGTGGGGTTGTTGGAGAATACCCGGGCCTGGACAATGAAGGCCCTCACCTTCCAATTGACCGTCAGCTGGCCGGGAATATCCAGTGGACTAGCTGGCTGGAGCAACTCCTTGGACAGGGTCTGGTCTCGGGCAAAAGGCCCAAAGCTTATGTTGATGGCAGGGAGGTCTTTTGTCTGGAAAACCACAAAACTCTCCGACCGCTGAAGCGGGTGTCCAATGCCGGGACCGCTGCTGCTCTTAGTGCCGCCGCCAACTGTTTGTCCTGTGATCTGAGCCTCTCGCAAAAAGAAAGCCAGTTGTGCATTGGACATCTTAAAGTTGGCGGGAAGGTAGACATTGGGTGGTGAAGGACTGGCTGTCATTGCTGAGGAAGTGAGGAGGGCATCTGAGCTGGTTGGAAAGATTTTACCTGCAAGAGCTGTGGAGAGAGAAAAGAGAAGAGAGAGGTTAAACATTTAAAACTTCTCCATTGACTTTTCTCGCCGATTTTAACAGAGTTACAGTTCGTGGGGAAAAAAAGATGGAAAGAGGAGGAGTCAACGAAATGAAACCGTGGGTGAGGTATGAGCAGGAAGTCACGGAGGTCTGCTATACTCAGTCAGCCATAGAGGGAGGAGGGGAAAAGGTCAACACACACTTATCAGATGATAACTGGCCAATACATGTCAAGCATTCACAGGAGAGGCAATCCAGTCTCACATGTTCACATCAACAAGGTGTGAGGTCAATGATTCGTTTCTGGGGGAGTGAACAACACATTCAATCACCAATTTGAACTGAAACGCAAAAATCTCCACAAAAATTTGGCAAAGAGACAAAACTCCCACCGGACAAGAAGGTAACTCTAAGTTGCAGATTAAAATAAGAATCTTGTGTGGGATTTTGAATGGTTTATACATTGTTATTCAACACTGCACTTGTTGAGAAAAACAAGTCAACATAGCTTAACACCTAAACTGCTACAGTGAAATCAAAGTAGGGCAAAATCATCACAGAACAAACAGAATAAATGTGACATACTTATCAAAATTACCCAGAGCTGAGCACAAAAACATAGTTTCCTGTCCCCATGGTCCAAATCATATTTTAAAAGTCCCATATTCCAAATGGTTTTATCATTGAAATCTCATCCTTTAAATGTAAATAAAAAGATTCAAGAGGATCTTTTCTGAATTCCCCAAAAGGAAAAAAAGCTCTTCCGTAGGTTGTGTTACTCAGCAGGCACTCCACAGAAGTTTGTCTTCTTTTTTTTGGGATTTTTCTCTTAAGAAAATCTTTGTCATGAGTTCCAAAAGAAGAATAAATGAGGGCAGAAAAAAAGAAAACAGCAATATGCTCCGGCAGTTCTTCACTTGGTCATGGTCTTGCTGCTGGCTGCAAAGGTTCCACCGTGTTTCTTGAACTTGTGCTTGTCTAATTCCCGTGGCTTAGGTCTTGGTTTAAGAGTGGTTCAGCCCCACGCAGCGGCTCTTTCAGTCCCAGACTGAGCATGGCTCCAGGACAGACTCTGATAGACAGGCAGAGCCTCCTCCCCGGTTGGTGGGCTGTACGGGAACTACAGACAAAGCCTTTGACGCCGCCCCATCTTGCCACACCTAGTCTCTAGTCTATAATCACCATTTTAGCTCCCGGTCAGAGCTAAGACACACAACTCTCAGAAGACTCGGCTTACCCCACACACACCAACACACACATGGAGGTGAAAGAAATAACACTCTGCAGCTCGATTCATCCTCTCCCTCTGGACGTGTTCAGGCAGACTCTTATGTGTGTGCGCATGCAAGTGTGAGTGTAAGCGCTGGGTGTGTGTGAGTGTGTGTGTGTGTGCGAGGTGGGGCGGGGGATGGATGTATTGCTTGAATGCCTCCAGGCAGAGAGAGAGAGAGACTAAGAGTAAGAGTAAGTGAGAGGGAGAAGGGGAGAGGGAGGGATTAGGTAAAGATTATTGATGAATTAGCCTAGCCTCTCCTTCCCTTCTCCTCCTCCTCCTCCTCCTTCTCCCCCCCCCCCCTTCGTCTGCTTTAGCCCCATGAGAAATCCATGAGAATGAGGGGTTACCAGCCAGAGGGGGAGGGGTATCTGGACTGCCTCCCTGCTTCACTCACATGTGCCTGGAATTCCCATAATAAAAGAGAGAGGAATCCATGGATGTGTGTGTGTGTGTGTGTGTGTGTGTGTGTGGGCCCCATAAACTGAATGGCAAACACTGGGGGCAACAAAAGATGAAGCCACAGCCGTGCAAACATCCCGCACTTACAAATGAGCAGTCGTAGCCATAGAGAAGAGGCTGGAGGAACTATAATGATGAGAGAGGCTACTTAGAGGCTGTCTAGTCTTTATCGACCAAGAGCTCCCTACCTCACAGGAATGTGTGCATGTTGGTGTGTGTGTGTGTGTGTGTGTGTGTGTGTGTGTGTGTGTGTGCATATTGGTGTGTGTGTGTATTTGGAAAGAAGAACTGCTCTTTGCCTGGATCAGAATTAAAAATGACAAAATCTGTGCAGCAGTCCACAAACTTCCTCCTAAGGGCTTCTCTACCAGAAGGACATATGCTTCATTCTCCTGGGTCCCAACGCCGAGCCACCATTCAAATCTCCCCCCATTACTGTAGACTTTACCAGTCACATGACCACATGACAAAACTGTGAGACTCTACCTCCGATCCTCGCCTCAAGAGAGAATAGAATATGTGCCTCGCATAGAGGGATATATACCCAGTCCGCCTGCCAATGTTAATATGAGAGAGGCGTGTTTTTCCCCTCCACCATTTAAAGCTCTATATGATTTTATTTCTGTGTTTAAAAAATAAGTAGATATTGGATCAGCATTACCCACCACTTTGCTCCATCTATCTCACTATGTCTGCAGGCAGCTGTAGCCTAGAGCTCTGAGAAACCTTGAATCTCCAGACATGCTGGGATTTTTAAAAGTGAAAGTGGTAACGTTCTCCCCTGCCTCCCAAACTACTGTCGAGGCGGCCTTGAGCAAGGCACTTAAAGGAATGTGTCTCCATGTGTTCCTCAAGCACCTGCTGCTGGCCAAACAGCCCACGACATAATGGTTGCCAGCTTGTTACTGTTTTTACTGGTAATTTAGTTTTTTTATTTAGTTTTTTTTTTTTTTTTTAAGCAGCACCGTTGCCTGCGTCACTCTTCTGCATCTGTTCATTCAAACACAGGGGAGACTGCAGGGCCAACATCAGGAAACTTAAAGTGATAGTTATTTGACGTGGGGTTGTGTGCAATTTTTGAAAGAGGCTAAAAACATCTTCTGCACTGACTCTAAGTAGCTCACACAACCCCGTGTCAAATAACTATCACTTTGAGCTAAAACTAAGACTCCAAACAGTTATTTGAATGCATCCATGCCAAAAACTTTGCACAATATTTGACGTAGGATTCACATTTTGGCATCAGAACCATGGACCCTATGAATGTGGTAAAATTAAGATGATTAGAAGAAGATTTCTCTCTCCACACGTCTGAGTGTAGCTTGTTTCATTTATACTTTTTTAGCAGGATATTATCTCAACACTTGAAATAAGGTGGAAAAATTCTCCAGACACCAAAAGCATTTATGCTCCGGTGGTCATGGAGATGTGTCTTTAATTATGTGGTGTTCCTGACACTGGTTGTGACTCTCTCAAATGTTTAAACAGAGGAAATATTCATGTTTTTAAAAAAAAAAGTTGAGGCACTTTTATTTCAAAAATCAAAGTAGTGCCACACTTTGTAGCACCATCTGTGAGGAGGGAAAATCCCATCTGCCCTCCATCGGCCGGGAGACATTAAGTTCTCCACTTTCTACCATGATAAATGTAAATGTAATGAAAACAAAAACATATATATATATATATTCCGTCATTGCATGTTGCATGAGATTAGTAGTAGAGTATTTCTCCCTCTTCCAGTAGCGTAACGGGTCGATGGCCGACAGTAGACTGTGGACGACACAACACTGCTAAAGTGTATTGACTATATTTTGCCAAAAGCACAGTGGTTTGTTGCCTCTGACTGTGAACCCGAAGTGACACCGATACTTTCATGTCAGGCCTGAAGGTCACCTGACTACCTCCCGGGAGCCTCCTAATCCCTTTTAAATGCAATGAAACTGTACAATGACAATACATGCATTGAATGCCATCAAACAAAACAAATCCTTGCCCCCTTTGCTCTCAACCCCCGAGGCCTCGCGGTGTCATTTGAGAAGGTGATTAGAGCCTACGATGCATCAGGGTGCTCTTGTCTCCTTTTCCAGACGAACAACATCAGTGGGTAGGTGGGCTTGAAGTGGAGCATGGACACAGATGGGCTTCCAGTGTGAAACCCTATCGCCTTCCTCTTCCACTTGATGTCCTATTAGACCTCAGGCCAAACTGAATCGAATTCTCTTCCTGTTGTGCTCCCATTACGTGAAACATCTGCTCTGTGTGTGTGTGTGTGTGTGTGTGTGTGTGTGTGTGTGTGTGTGTGTGTGTGTGTGTGTGTGTGTGTGTGTGTGCGTGCGTGCGTGTGTTTGTGTGGTGGGGGAATGAGTTGGTGTCTACTCTAAGGCCACTTTCTATTCATTAGATTACTTTGTCTGATGCCAATTAATGAAAGTATTGGGCCACTTTGAGGCTGCGGCTCCACGTCCACTGTAATGCCAATAACAGTCCACAAAGACAGACACTTTAGATTAGAAAAAAGCTAATGATTCCAACCACAATACTACAGACTTATCCCAGTGGAGGATTTAATCATCAATCCACTTATTGGGAGGTTTTTTTTGTGTGTGTGTGTGTGTGTGTGTGTGTGTGTGTTAGAGCTAGATTAACCTTGAAATAAATCCAACACAAGCCTCTTTTTTTTTTTTTTTTTGCAGAGAAACTAATGCAGGAAAGCTTTTATGTAACAAATATATCAATGCTCTCACAAAAAGCAGCGTAGTCAAACTCTTAACTTGCTACTAACTTACTAAAAAGAGCTAAATATGTGGAAAACGAGCCTTGCAAACACATATTCCTGGGAATAAACTACACACACTACGCACACTTTCCACCCAAATAATCCAGGTACAGTATATTGTATATGATAGGGGATTTAGAAGGATTGGGGGAAGTATCTGTTGTGCTCCTAAAAATCCCAAAAGCATTCAGCAGACTAAAGATAAACAGCCTTGTTAGGACACTTAACTGTATGTCTCGCTACCCCATACAAAAGCCTTCAAATATAAAAGCTGGCTGCCAAGTCAAGGGAAAATATATAGAGAGGATGTTATGAGGAGGGCAGACATTTGATCTTGAGAACCAGAAGTGCATAAACGTCTCCTCAAGTAAAAGGTCAGGAAAAATTGTTGAGAGGGTTTAGAGAGAGATGGAGCATCCTTGCAGCATTACTAATGTTCCAGCGCCAAGGGTTTCCCTATCGATCTTTATCT